TTGCTTTTTCTGAGCCCCCTCTTTTAGGGTGGTAGAGCACATCTCCCACCAAGAGTGGTGGGAGGAACCGTTCTGAGACCATGCCTGTCTGAAAAGATCTTCAGACTCCATCTTCACATAGCGCCCAAGACTGGACTGTGGCTAGATTTCTGGGTTGGGAGTAATTTTACTTTTGACCTTCTGAAGGTTTGACTCTCTTGTCTCACGTGTCTAGTGTGGCTTGGGAGGATGTGTAAGCCTTTCTGATCACAGTTTGAATATAACCTAATTCCTCCCTTCCCCCACCCCACCCCAATGAGGCATTTATACAAGAAGCTTCCCATCCTGGGTATTCTGAATTTCACAGTGATTGCTGAATTTATTTCAAGCAGTATATATTAGGTAGTTTTTTTTTCCAACTCTGGAAATGGACAGGTTTCAGTAGGGGCATAATCCCATCTCTTCCTTTTCTTTCTTTTCTTTTCCGGGAACCCTAGCTACCCATGCGTCTATGCGTCTATGGTCTTTGCAGGCTGGTTCTTTGGTTTGTATAACTTTCTAACATCTGTTTTTCTCTTGGATCCATTCTTTGTCTTTTCCCCCCTGTATTTTGTGGGCTATGTTACCAAATTTTCCATTCTAAAACCTCCTTATTCCCCCTCCCTTTGCCCCTTTGCATTGTTCACCATAGTTCTCAGTGTTCATTCTTAGATCACCAATTTTATTATCTGAGGACAGACTTTAAAGTTTTGCCTTCTCTCTCTTTCTCTCTCTTGGCAAATCTGCATTCTCCAAGTTGCCTGCAGGAGAGTTGCTTGCTCTCTTCTTTCTCACTCATGTTAGAAGCGTAGCTCAGATGGCGTTAATCTGTTTGCCTGCCTGGGCTCGGAGTGGAGGAGACTCCCTTGTCAGTGATGGTGTAGCCTGTAGCACAATGTGTCTTTGGAGGAGAAACTCCTAAGTCACAACTTTGCTTCCCCCTTCCTTCTCTGCAGGTGCTCAGATTGCACAGAGAAGAGTCCTTCAGTCTCTGCCCAAGAAAGTCATTCTTAGAAGGTAACATTCTAGGGCTGGGAAGGTGGTTCAGTGGTGCTTGCCTTGCATGCATGAGGCCCCACATAAACAGAAAGAGCCAGAAGTGGTGCTGTGGCTCAAGTGGTAAGCGCTAGTCTTGAGCTGAAGAGCTGAGGGACAGTGCCCAGGCCCAGCGTTCAAGCCCCATGACCGACAAAAAAAAAAAAAAAAAGGTAACATTTTAGAAGCTCCACACGGGAAAAAAAAGGCCTTCAGCATTAGAATTCACTCCATTTTCCTTTGGATATACACGCTAGAGTGCCTTTAGTCTATCCAGTCCTTAGATCATGGGGATGTTAAGTATCTCAGCGAGTTTTTCAAAAAATGATGCTATAACACAAATCACTATACCTAATATTTCCAAACAACTGAATAGGATGTCTGAAAGAAATAGGTACTGTTTGGAAAAAATATATACTTGCCACAAAAGGAAATGTTTGTTCTTTTTTAAATAACCATAATTACTTTCTATTGGTTGAATGCCTTCGTTGGGCCCTGGATATCCTCTCAGTGTCAGACTGGACATGGTTAGGCTTATTTCATAGTCCCCATAGATCATTTCATGCGGTCTTTGCTTTATTTCATTACACGTCAATCAAACGCTCAGTTTTAGGGCTGGAGGGGTGGCGCAGGTGACTGTCTTGCCAGCATGAAACCCTGACTTCAATCCCTAGAACCATATTCCCAAATAAACACAAACAAATGAAAGATGTCGATTTCGCAGAGATCTGAAGTTACAGAACAGCCATCCTGTTGTAAACTGGAATTATTTTCAGCTAGTCATATATATGGCTCATCCTCTCACATGTCAGATATCAATATGTTGAAACCTATGAGAGCCCTCCTGTCAGAATGGAGAGACACCACAGCAACTCTGTTACTTCATCCCATAGTTTGGGAAGCACAGGATGTATATACTTTTGATCCACTCTTCATCCTAGTCTTGAACTTGCATTTCTATTATATATGTACTGAGTTATAAATGTACTGAGTTTATAGCTATCTCAACAAATATTCTTATCATTGCCCCCCCACAACTCAGCCTCTTGGTATTTTTAATTGTGTAGAATTTATTTCAGATTCGGAATCACTTTATCAAGTCTAGAATGGGCCACAGTAGTGATCATAACACAATAAGAGATACTGTACTTTTCTATGTATAATTCTCTAACCAGTAAGATACTTTTTTGGGGGGTGGTTTTCATTTTGCATGCCATTAGACAATGTTATAGAAGTAACTCAATACAGTTTGTGGCTGTTTCCAGACAGCTGAGTAAGCGCCTGAGTATTAACATCTGTCAAATGAGTCTTCTGTAACCCACCCCTCAGACCAGTCTTTGAAGGATTCAATCAGTATAAAGACAGTGTCTCAAAAGAAGGCTGGGGCAGGTAAGATGACAAAGGAGGTTGGTCTGAAGCAAGCCGGCTAGCTATGAATTCACAAAGCAGTCTGAGAAGATTTGTGCTGCAAGCTGACTTCTGTCTAGACAGAGAGGGGAGTGTAAAACGCATTAGACAGATACAACACAGTAGTGACGAGGAAAACCTGCTTCCTTTTCACAAATGTGCTGGAAGGCATCTGCTACTTTCTTCTTTATCTAAATATCTCGTTCTAATGCAGCACTAGCTAGGTATTTTTAGACCTTAAAAATATCATGCCCATAGATAAAGGAAGAAAAGAAGGAGATAAGGAGAATGAGAGAGTGGACTGGAGAAAGAAAGAGGAAGGGAAGGAAGGAAGAAAGTTGTGGGGGCTAGATATACACAGAGAGAAGAGAGAGCAAACAAAACAAAACAAACAAGACAAAGCAAAAACACCCCAGTGACTCTGACAGAAGAAGGGAAGAGACAGCAATAAAATTTGAATGCTTAAATATTTTTCCTGCATTTCAAAGGCTATTTGGAAAACATTTGGAAAACATCACTAACCCAGTCCTATAAAATTTATCTTCGGCCCCAGATGGACTGTATTCACGTGTCACTTTTGTCCTTTCTAACAAACAGTGGCTAAAGACCAGCTATTAGAGAAGCCTGCTCCTGCAGACTTTGTCTATGGCTGAGTACATCAGTGGGTTCACTAGGTATCGTGATGATCAGGTCATTGAAGAAAGTAAACTCTGAAACATGATCTTTGTTCACTCTGACATGGAACTTTGGGGTCAATGTAAGGAAAACATCTAGCAGTTAGCAAACGAATCATACCTCGTTGTGTGAGGCATGCTGCAGTTTTGTTTCAATACAAATCTGCTTTAAAATTTGTTCTTAAGTTTTTACGCATGACAACTCACAAAAGCAATGATTGGAGTTTCACTATTTTGTGTTGTTTAAAAATATGGCTGTGTTGCTGGGTGCTGGTAATCCTAGCTATTCAGGAAGCTGAGATCTGAGGATCGTGGTTTAAAGCCAGCCCAGGAAGAAAAGACAGTGAGACCCACCAATTATCCACATGAAAACCAGAAATCAAGCTTTTCCTCCAAGTGGTAGAGTTCCAGCCTTGAGCACAAAAGCTCAGGGACAGGGCCAAATCCTGAGATAATGACAGTGGATATCAAGATGATAAGCAATGGGTATTATGAATGTGTTCAGGATACAAAATGTTACATCAAAATAGCCTCCACAGTCTGGGAAGCTATGAAAGTATTTTTTTTTTTTTTGCCAGTCCTGGGGCTTGAATTCAGGGCTCAGGCACTGTCCTTGAGCTTCTTTTGCTCAAGGCTAAGCACTCTACTACTTGAGCCACAGTGCCACTTCTCTCTCTCTCTCTCTCTCTCTCTCTCTCTTTGTTTGGTACTGAGGAATTGAACCCAGGGCTTCATGCATGCTAGGCAAGCATTCTACCACTAAGCCACATTCCCAGTCTGATGACTCTATTTGATGTGGCAACTGACACACTGCTTGGGATGTCATGCTCTAGTTGTAATTCAGAGGCCACGCATCAATTCCAGTTATTCTCCTTGGATATTGAGTAGCATCTTTTAAGCTTTGGATCCTAATAGATGCATTCTCTGCTTTTAAAGATCCCATGCTTGGACGCAACAGAATCAGGGATGACCAGAGCATTGTGACCTACAGGAGCCCACAAGGAAGCTTCAAGTTCCCAAGCAAAGGTCAGGTCAAGGTCATGGTTCCCAAGGAAGGTTTGAGCAGGATTTGCTTGACCCAGAAGTAGAAACAGTAACATCATCCTTTGTATGTTACCCTTTATTAAGAAGCACATGAAACTGTGGCTTTGTTCATGGAAAAAATAATCCCAAGTAAACAAATAATACCAAGAAAACAATGTTAAATAGGGCATACTATGAATACCTGGCCAATTTTTTTTTTTTTTGTAGTCCTTGAGGAGTCATAAACAGATAGAAGTTGGAGACAGGGCGATGGCAGGCCCCCATGGATCTCAGAGCATGCTGATGAGGTCAGATGACCTGGTAATTAAGAGAGATTCTCCGTGCTTGTAGAACAGTTAAAGTTGATGGCTCATGGCACATAAATGAGACATACGTGGGGTCGACTCACACATCTTAGGCGGCTCTCATTCGAGGCACATTCTCAGCCACGCTGCCTCTCTGTTAGTGGGTTTTTGTCCACAGAAGTATGTAGCAAGCAGAGAGCTCTTTTTTACTGGAATTTTAAGGAGGAATTTTTTTCCCCCATCATTGGCTTAGTTCGCTTTTGGAGTATGAAAGACTATATTTTAGAAAGTCTTTAAGTCACCGAATCTGACCTTCTTTTCTAAATGGCACTTAATGTTTTACTAATAGAGAAGCTGAACACAATGCCTGATCCATGATAAAGAGCATTGTCTCCAAGGGGGGGTTCATATTTCCAGGGTATTGCCAAAACATTGTTTCATGTATAACTTTAAAACAGAAAACAAAGAACTATTGAAACCCAAAAGATACATCTTCCCTTCCCACCCCCCCACCCCCCCCAAAGAAGAAAATTCTTACCAGGTTCAGCTGTAGATCTGGGTTCTTTTTGTCACAGGAGAAAGAAAATAAATCAGAAAAGAATATTAGGATAGGGTTCTATTAAAATGAACCTACAACTCTCTTCTTATTGTCTAGTGTAGAACACATTATAGACAATTTCTACAAGAGAAAGTTCCAGCGACAACGTACAAATGTCTCTTCCTATAAATATAACAAGTTGAGTTCCAAGAACACTTTAAAGTATTATTTAAAGACATAGTTGTTAAGTGGATTATGGACTTGTGAACTTTCTAAAATTATTTGCCTGACTGTGAGTACAAATGTGAAACCTTTTTTTCCCCTCGGCTGTGGGGCTTGAACTCTGGGCTTGGGCACTGTCCTTCAGCTCTTCAGCTCAAGGCAAGCACTCTACCACTTGAGCCATAGCACCACTTCCTGTTTTCTGGTAGTTTATTGGAGATAAGAGTCTCATGGACTTTCCTGCCTGGACTGGCTTTGAACCGTGATCCTCAGCTCTCAGCCTCCTGAGTAGTAAGGATTAACAGGTGTGAGCCACCAGTGCCTGGTGTAAAACTCTTTCTAAAGAAAGAACATAGAACTTGTATCAGATTCAAAGGCGCCTCAGTTTTAGTTTCCTGGGCCCTGTTACACAGTGCCTTATTGACTCTTGTGCTTCTCGAAAATAGAAATCAACTCATTTGAATTGATTTTCAATCAGCATTTCTCTCCATTTTCCCTGAAATCAGATGGACTGGGATAGTCAGCTGGGGAGATGCAGTCGTGTCCCCTTACTTTTTTGTAGAATTCGGAAGTCTGGAGAGTCTTGGATCTCAATTCCTTGGCGGGACCACTGCACCTGTAGAGGGGGCGCCCCTCGAACCCGGCACTCCAGGACGACCACCTGGCCCTCCGAGGCTGCCGTGTTCTGCAGCTCCTGAAATTCAAGCAAAAGGCTTTCCCTTAGACGGTGTATTCTTAAGCAGTTTCACAACAGAGATATAATTTACAGACCTCAGTCCCCAAACAGCAAGCAAAACAAAAATCCCCGGCAGAGCTCGTATTCAAACAATTACCTTTAATAAATACCTTTCAGCTATTCATAATTTCTTCATCATGAATGAGTGATGTTTACCACCATAGGCTCTGAAATACATGTGGCCTATTTATAAATTTGTATTGACTATTTCTTACCTTATTTAATGGAATTAAAGGTCACTGAAACTCTTTGGCAGTACTGGGGTTTGACTCAGGGCCTTGCTTCTGCTGGGAGTACTCAGCCCTCTTCCCTTTCCTTTTCCTTTTCCCTTTCCCTTTCCTTTATGGGATCTTGCATTTATACCAGGGCTGGCCTGGGTCACACCCTATCTATAGTTCTCATATTGTTGGGTCAACAGGTGTGTGTGCCACTATATCCAGCTTTTTATGGGTTGAGATGAGATCTCATGAACTCTTTTGCCTGGGCTGGACAATCTCTTCCTTCAAGTAGCCAGTATGACAAGCAGGAGCTATCCCTTCTGGTAACTTGTTACTTTTTCTTTACATTTAATAAGCTGGTGGAATGTGAGTTTCTTAAAATAATTACACAACAAATGACTATAGATCTTTAGAAGAATCAAATAAGACAAGAAAGAAAAGCCATTTGTTTTCATAAGCTCCAACCTTTTCATGCACTCCCCCTTTATCTCTGCTCAACTTGTTATCCATGGCAGCTTTATGAAGCTGAGGGATTTGGGTATTTTCTCATTTCGAGATCCTCAGTAAAATAATCAAACTTCCGTACTTCCACACTGACCTTCATTTCCTCCTTCCTTACCCCTGCCTGTTGCTTTCACGCTCCTCCAACTCTAGACCAATAAATTTTTACAATCTAAAAGATTAGAAATTAATTTGGCTTCATAGATGCAACGTGGTAAGGCTTTAGGGATTGTTAGGAACCATTAGGATCTATGTCCTCTCTTTCCCTCTAAGTGGGAACTTTAACCTTTTTGACGATATAAACTTGTAAGCAGAGGACCAGATCAAATACAAAGCATATAGACCTCTTTAAGTAATTGAATCATGATACAATAACTCATCTGTATATGAAATAAAGAAAAAAAATCCCCTCTCTCATATTGGAAGAGTATGTGGACTCCTGATACGTTGTTCTGTGGGTGTTCATTTTAATTGTTTGAGGGAACAATAGATAATCACAACTTCTACAGCCCATGAGAAAAGCAAATGTGGAAACAAATGGCTTGTAGCAAGTGTGTTAAAGCACTATGAAAATTCTGAAAGTCTGTGATGTTGGCAGGGTAATGGGAAGTGTAAGGGGAAGTCTGATTTGACATTTGGTGAGAATTTTGGATTTGAACTCAGGGTCTTTATGCTTCCTAGGTAGGATTGACCCAGGCTTCCAGTCTTTTATATTCTGCTTATTTTTGAGATAACATCTCAGAGTTTGCCTAGGGCCAGCCTAGACTGGAATCCTCATGGTCTCAGCCTTCCGTGTAGTCAGGGTGACAGGTAAAGACCATTTTGCCTTGCTTTTAGTTGAGAAGGGATCTTTACAATGCTTTGTCTGAGCTGGCCTCAAATCTTTATCCTCTGGAACACTGCCTTCTGAGTAGCTATGATTATATCTACTTTCTCTCTCTCTCTTCTTCTTCTCTAGTAAAGCTTAAGTAAAAGTACCAACTACTGATTTCATTTCTTCTCCATTCTTTTTATTTCCATTCTTATTTTTAAGTGTAGAAAGATCTCTGGCTTAAAATTAAATTTTGAAAAAAAAACAATTAAATGTTGACTTTGTGATGGTAGCCAAAGAAGAAATGACTTAGTGGCTCAAAGCACCGTTTCACCCATGGGGTCCAGAGTTTATGGGCTGAGCTGTTAAATATCTCTAGTAATGTCCAGGAAGCCATTCATGATAGGTGACAAATGGCACCCAAATATTTTTCATGCTTGAGCTTTCAGGCACCAGAGGAGACTGATTTATTACTAAGACTATGTAGGGTTTTTTTTTTTTGTATTTTTTTTTTGAGAGGAGGGTGTTGGAAAGTCAGCAATGCAAAAAATGGGCATATATCAAAGAATGAAGGCAGACCAAACTCTAGCTATTATTCGAGGACACTTGGCTTCTCTTGTAGAGTGAACACACAATACACACACGCGCACACACACACACACACACACTTATCTTGACAAGAGTCCTGGCTAATCACAGTGAGCCAGTAGAAGGACCTTCTGGCATATACGGAGAAGCCCTGAAAACACTGAGCGTTAAGTTTCAGAGTTTGTGCTTGGTAACATGGTTCACCCATTCATCCATTCAGCGAAGGATCTGGGAGTCCTCAACAGTTTTACTTTTTTTGTTTGGTGAGAGTTAGTGCTTGTCTTTTTGTCCTTTTCCTCTTCTATTTTGTTATTAGTATACATTAACTTGTACATTACAAAAGGATGGTTTCATGGTGATATGTTCATACAGGTCAATAATACAGTATACTTTAATCATATTTACATTTCATTCTTTGTTATTCTTGGGTGTTTCAGCACACACAGACATACACACACACACACACACTTCTATCCTAGATCGTGTCTAACTGACTTTGTAATTCCTCAGAGGCCCTGAGGGAAGACATGCCCCGTCGAGGGGGCTATCTGCTGACCACGTGTGCATCTTTGTCAGAACATCCAGAGTACCACAGTTCACACCAGTTCTCTGGCAGGAGGCAAGCCCTTTAGTGTGCTGGGCTGGCAGGCAGAAGCTATGGCTTTGCCTTGGACTGGGTGTGCAGCTGAAGTTACCTTTTCCAGAGGAGTATGAGGAACCGCCAGGATCATGGCCAAGAGAAAGAAACAAGGTGCACAAGGGGAGTGGGGTGTGGGTGTGTTGCAAGGTGGGGGATGAGGCGTATTGATCCTATAGCTTGGGATTTCCTAAAAATTAGTCTACGGAAAAATATGTCTATTTAGTTTTAGCCTTTTCAAGTTACATTGTTAGCACCCAGAACACTTTTCTTTTGGGAAGAAGAAAAGATAACTAAAGATCCAGACGCTAGTGATGCATGCCTGTAATTCTAGCTTCTCTGGAGGCTGAAATCCAACATGACTGTGGTTCCAGGCCAAGTAGAAAACTCTACAAGACTTATCTTCAAAATAACCAGCAAAAGCCAGGCTGGAGGTATGTCTCAAGTGGTAGGATTTTGATTTTGGAGGTTAGAAATATTTACACACACACACACATATATTTTGGAAATGCCCAAAAGCCAAAAATGGATTTTTACAAATGTTTCATAAATATTATATGCTATGCATAGTTTGAATAAATATATGTGTTTATATATATATATATATATATATATATATATATGAGTTTTTGTCGATTGTGGGGCTTGAACTCAGGGCCTGGGCACTGCCTCTCGGCTCTTTTGCTCAAGGCTAGCACTCAACCACTTTAAGCCACAGCTCCACTTCCAGTTTTTGAGTGGTTAATTGGAGATAAGAGTCTCATGGGGAGTTTTGAAGCCAGGCTGGCTTCAAACTGTGATCTTCAGATCTCAGTCTCCTGCATAGCTAGGATTATAGATGTGAGCTACCAGTGCCTGGCAGAAGACACATTTTTACAATATTTTGAATTCATCTATGTTTTGTCTGCAACTTGGAACATGAGGTAAAGTATGGATTTTCCATGTCAGCACATAAAGAGTATTGGATTTTGGAGCATTCCGGATGAGGGATTCTCAACCTTCATCATAATTAGTATTCATTTAGAAAGTCTTCATATCTCATAGGACAAGTACCTTTTTTTCAAGCATGACTTTGTTTTTTGTTGTTTTTTTTTTTTTTTTTTTTTTTGGGTCCGGTCGTGGGGCCTGAACTCTGGGCCTGGGCGCTGTCCCTCAGCTCTTCAGCTCAAGGCTAGAGCTCTACCACTTGAGCCACAGCGCCACTTCCGGCTTTTTTCTTTTTGCTTATGTGGTGCTGGGAATCGAACCCAGGGCCTCAGGCATGCAAGGCAAGCGCTCTACCACTGAGCCACCTTCCCAGCCCTTTTGTTGCTTTTTGTTGTTGGTTTTTTCTTCTCTAGCAGTGCCCTGGCTATAATTGATGATTTAAAAAATTCCTCACATTTTTTAAAAAATCAGTTTACTAAATTCTATACTAAAAAATAAACAGAAATAAAAAAAACCCTATTGGGATTTTTTTAAAGCAAGATTTGTACTAACTGTATAATCAAGGACTAATGACTTTATGGTCTTTCAGTCTACAAGAATGATAGATCTCTCTATTAATTTGGTCTTTCAATACAGCTTCCAATAATGTTTCATAAATTTCTCTGCAAATAGAAAGAAAAAGAAAAGAGAAGAAGAGAAGAAAAGAGATATGTTTCAGGATCTTAGGAAAATAAAATTACCCAGTATTTTTTGAAATAGGTAAAAACTTGTTAGATCTTGCAAGCAATTTCCTTGGGACAGGCAAGGAAGGTTTTAATACTGTATGTGTCTTATTTTTCTTTATCTCACATCTCTGTCTCTCAGACCTTTCCCAGGGCCACAGGCACCCAGCAGGTCCCCAAATGCCTTTTTACCCCCAAAGGTAACTCTTTGAATCAAGTGTATGGATCTGCTCATTGTACTTTTTAAAAGCTGCGACATGGAAGAAGCCACATGTGAATGAAATTTAAGGACCAAAGCAAACATGGAGAATGAGGTTTCCAGCTGTCAGACCTTTGTAAAAACAGGAGGAAAGTAGGCTGAGGTGGTTCCATCGGTGCGGCAAAGATGTGCAGTTGGACTGTGAACCTGAAAGAGCAGAGACACGCATAGATGAGAGTCTAAATATGTACATCACTGTAGGGATGGGCTAAACTTACCTTTCATTCTTGGGCTGGCTCCACCTGAATGAAACAAATAAAAGTTTGACCATACATCATGCCTTCGTCTTCTCTTACAGTGTGGACCTTGTCCTGCTTCCTCGTTTCACATCTGTTACTCTTCTCTGTTCAAAAGGATATTCAAGGTAAATGTTCCTTTAGGTCCCTGAGGATCTGTGGGCTCTTAAATGCTATTACCAAATGGATTTCTGTGTGTGGGACTTCCACCAGGGTCTTTTTTAGAAGTTCTCACAGATGTTATATTTTATTTTAAAATACAACCTGGATTTGTGGAGTCAAGAGTATAAGATGTTGGCAGTGGAAGGCAAAGTAGATGATCAAAACAGGGCCCTATGTTATTATTGTTTCTTGAATCTTACACTCTTTCAATAAAATTGTTACGGAAAATAAGGAAAAAGGAAAATTCTTTCTGATGTGCCAATTCTCCCCCCTCCCAAAAAAACACCCACCAAAACCAACACCTCTACCACCAACAGGTATGGAAATACACAGTGGCATTCATCTCTGGGAAAACTTAAGGATTTCAGAACAGTAAATGGAAAACAAATTTTTGTGTGTGTGCATGACCACTTATTTTAAACAATCTTATACAAGTGGTTGGTAGCTCTTCACTGGCAAATGCTGATGTGATATTATGTGTCTAAAGGTACCACAGGACATCAGAATGCTTGACCGAACTGTGGAAATACTGACATAATAATGTACTTTATTCATTGTTTCTGTAAGACTTCACTGGCTTGTAATTCAGGAGGTCTAGGTTTCATCTTTCACTGTGTTTTGAATCCACTGAGAAATATGAACCTATTTTGTACCACATTGTTTCAAGTATTATGTCAAGATGAAACTTCATGATAACCTGTGAGGTGGGTAGTGTGAGCATCTCCATTTTACAGATGAATAAAGTAGGCACAGAAGGATTGCATTATTTCCTCAAGGTCCCTCAGTAAGTGGTAGAGCTTGGATTCGAACCTAGGCAGGCTGGCTTCAGGCTGATCATATCTATATCTCATTGTCTGTAACAAAGAAATGATGGAATTCCCCTGAGTACTTCATTCACCCAGCTGTAAAAGAGAGATGCAGTCACTTTTAACTCAGTGTTCCTGTTGAATTAAGACCACTTAAAAATGCACTCTTCACATCCTTACAGTATTGACATCTGTAAGTTAATGTGTGCCTTTCTGTTCTTAGATATCTGTTACAAATTAATAAGCTCTCCACATTTAAGAGGTAATTTAGGTCAGTATTTCCTGTTTCTCAGACAAACTGGAAGTGATGTTGATGAGGTCTTTTTCTGCCATGGAATGTCTACACAGTGTTCAACATTTGTCAATATTTAAACATCAAAGCTATGGATTTAGTCAGAGGTAGTTTGGATATTGTATTATGGTATAGGGGTTTAAAGGAAATCTCTACTAGATATGCTGTCTTTGGGTTACTTCTACTGGTTAATTCTTTTCAAGTTTATCAACCCACATGTCTTTACTATATATCATGCACTGTAGTTACCCAGACAGCTCTGAATGCTTGCTACATAGATATTCAAGGTGATACACCTGTTAAACAGTTCTCAATCAGGCAGGGGTGAGTTCACATTTTAAGAGTGTGGGAGAAAGACTTCTATGAGTGTTGTATTTAAAGATGACTATCATATAAATGATATACAGATTTTTTTCTGTAATTTGATACTTACAGAGTGAACACACCAAGGATTACTTCCCAATAGGTTCTCTTACTGTTCTTTCTTAAACAAAAAAGTTTGGTGAGTCAGGTACTGGTGGCTCACAGCTATAAACCTAGCTACTTAGGAGGCTGAGATTGGAAGATCACAGTTCAAAGCCAGCTCATGCAGGAAAGTCCATGAGACTCTTATCTCCAATTAACTACCACAAAACCAGAAGTGGAGCATCTGTAACTCAAAGTGGGAGAGCACTAGCCTTAAGCAGGCACTAAGTTCAAGTTCCATGACTGTTAAAACAAAAGCAAAGCAAAAACAACCAACAAAACAACCAACAATAAAAACCCAAACCCCACATTTCAATGGAATGTGCTTTAAAACAAGAAAAAAAATTCAATGTCACAGTCTTAAAATGAAGCAGTTAGTGAATCGACTCCACTGACTGTGGCTCTTGTACAATTACCTGTTGAACAGGGACTGACAAAGGCTGAATCACAGCTGTGGTTACTCCTGTCTTTGGAGAGGATGCTCCTATTGTCAAGGAAACAGAAGTTGTTTTCTTTTGAGCTCTGGAAAATATAGAAGCAAGGGCTCAGTTAGAACATTTTCTTAGAAGTGACCTCTTGAAATACTTCTACAGAAGACCTGCTTTTTTTGTTTGTGTATGTACTTTTCCCCCCACAAAATTGCCCAACTATGGAATTGGCCTTGGTATCTTTAATCAAGAATGCATAAAGAAAATGTGGTATACATTGACCTTCTCTTTCACTTTTTATCTTGATTTTTCTTTTTTTTTAAATTTTATTTTATTGCAAGGGTGATGTATAGAGCGGTAATAGTTACCTAAGTAAGGTGATGAGCACATTTCACGTGAAACATTGTTACCCCTCCCTTTTTTTCTCCCACTCCACTTTCCTTCCTCCCCCCACCCCCTCCCCTGCCACCAAGTTGTAAAGTTCATTTCTAACATAGTGTGAGTGCTGCTCTTGCATTGAATCACTCTTTGTTCTTTGTCTCACCATTTTGTTATTTCCCCTTTCCTTCCACAAATCAGATAAACATATATAAAAGACACAGGGTACCAAAATAAAAAACAGTGACAACAGGGGAAAAACCAAAGTGGGTGGGGAACAAAGGAAAAAAGAAATAACTTCACATTCCATGTCTTGGAGTTCATTTTGATTATCATCACTCTATATGGTCATAAGTACATAGCTATTGAGCTAATATGATTCTCTGCTAGGAGTATCCTAGACATACACTAATTATTTCAAATAAGGGAAGCCATGGAGCTTATGTTTCTGGGGGGTCTGTCTTACTTCACTTAATATGATTTTTTTCCAAGTCTTTTCATTTCCTTATGAATGGGGTGATGTCATTCTTTCTGATGGAGGCAGAGAATTCCATTGTGAATATATATCACATTTTCTTGATCCATTCATCTACTGAGGGGAAACTGGGTTGGTTCCATATCTCAGCTATGATAAATAATGCTGCACTGAATACAGATGAGCTAGTAGCTTTAGTGTGGCCTTGTTTGTGATCGTTTAGATAAATATCCAGGAGTGGGATTGCTGGGTCATAGGGGAGCTCTATGTTTAGTCTTTTGAGGAACCTCCATATTGCTTTCTAGATCTCAATAGATGCAGAAAAAGCATTTGACAAGATCCAACACCCCTTTATGATGAAAGCTCTGGAGAAACTAGGAACCATGGAATATTCTCAATATAATAAAGGCTGTATATGACAAACCTATGGCCAGCATTATACTTAATGGTGTAAAGATAAAACCATTTCTTCTAAAATCAGGAACAAGACAAAGATGTCCACTCTTCTCCACTCCTGTTCAATATTGTATTGGAATTCCTAGCCAGACAAGAAGGCAAGAGACAAACATAAAAGGGATCTAAACAGGGAAAGAAGAAGTAAAATTCTCCCTCTTGGCAGATGATATGATCCTGTATTTAAATAACCCCATAGACTCCACTCCCATGTTACTTGAGCTGATACAAAACTTTGGCAAAGTAGCAGGGTATAAAATTAACCCACAAAAATCAGTAGCTTTTCTATATGCCAACAAAGAGAAGAGGGAGGCTGAAATCAGGAAAGCAATTCCTTTTGTAATGGCCTCAAAAACAACAACAACAACAAACCTAGGAATTAAGCAAAGAGGTGAAGGATCTCTATGATGAAAACTTTAAAAACCTGCAAAAGGAAACTAAAGCAGATTTAAGGAAGTTGAAAAACCTCCCATGCTCCTGGATTGGGAAGATTAACACTGGGAAAATGGCAATACTGCCCAAAGTTATTTACAAATTCACTGCAATACCCATCAATATCTCCGCAACATTCTTTAATGAAATAGAAGAAGCAATTAAAAAATCCATATAGAATAATAGAAACCCCAAATAGCAAAAAAAAAATCCTTAACAGGAAAACAGTGCTATCATTACCAAACTTCCAACTGTATTATAAAGCTGTTGTAAAAACAGCTTGGTACTGGCACATGAACAGCACTGAGGACCAGTGGAATAGAATTGAAGACCCAGAAATGATCCCACAGACCCTGAAAATATTACAGGAAGGGATAGGGGATATACTAGGGCTCTTTGGCACAGGTTGAAACTTCCTAAATACAGATCCAGAAACACAACAAATCAAAGGAAGGCTGGATGAGTAGAATTGCATTAAACTGTAGAGCTTCTGCATGGAAAAGGAGATAGCTAGCAAGATAAATAGAAAACTCACAGAGAGAAGAGCTTCACTAGCCATAACAAGGGCCTCATATCAAAACTATACTTAAAGTTAAAAAAAAATTAAACCTCCCCAGTAACAAAAACAACCACCCCATTAATAAGTGGGCTAAAGAATTTTAAAGAGATTTCTCTAGAGAGGAAATAAGAATAGCTAATAGATGCATGAAGAAATGTTCAACGTCTCTGGACAAAAAGGAAATGCAAATCAAAACCACATTATGATTCCACCTCACCTCAGTTAGAATGGGCATTATCAAGAAAACAAATAACAATAGATGCTGGTAGGGATGTGGCAAAAAGGGAATTCTGCTACACTATTGGTGGGAAAGTAAACCGTGTATATACATCTTGTAACTGCAATTGTTTCAGAAACTGGAACTCAACAATCTACAGTTGAAATACCTGTGGTGGCTGTTTGCATAATGTAAGATTTGTAGATATTTAGAAAAATGAATACAAAATTGAAAGGAAACCATCTAGAGTTAACTCAGAGATTCTAAAGTATTAACCATGAAAACCCTAATAGCAAGTTAAATCCTTGGGAGAGGTCCAATGTTTATCCATAGAGAGATATTTGAAATCTTCACGACTAGGGTCCTATATTTAACTCAAAGTTTTACATGTCTATTTTAGGCCTAGCAGCTGTTCTTGTGCTGGATTCCAATTTTGTGGAGAGTATCTTGGAATTTTTGTCTTAGTGCATAGATAAGGGCCAGATTAAGAAGAATTTTTGCCATTGTTGAATGGCTGGCTGTACAATCTCAAGCAAGTCCTATGACATCACTGAATTTGAACTTCCTGGTTTGGAGCCCAGGCTGCCCTCTAACACTTTCTCCTCTTGCTGTAGCATCCTGAGTGCTGGGATTGCAGGCATGTGTTTAGCTTTGACTCTATCTGAAATCGATGGTGGAAAAGTATATGATCTTATAAGTATGCTTATAGCATCTGTGAATATTTGGTAGAATGGATACTTTTATTTTATTTTATTTTATTTTTTTTACTGGTTGTGGGTCCTGAACTCTGGGCCTGGATGCTGTTCCTGAGCTCTTTTGCTCAGGCTAACACTCTACCACTTTAAGTCACAGCTCCACTTCCGGTTTTCTGGTGGTTAATTGGAGATGAGTCTCAAGGACTTTCCTGCCTGAGTGGCTTTGAACTGGGATCCTCAGATCTCAGCTTCCAGAGTAGCTAGGGTTACAGAGCCACACTGGTAGCTGATATAATTATTTTTTATGAAGCTTACATATTACCATTGTCTTTTTAAATTGTACAGATTTGTTGTACACAGTGTGGTAATTCAGTACATGTATACAGAATGTCTTGATTAGATCAGGGTAGCTGGTGTAACAAAGCCATCTGGCAGCACATATTGATATTAATGTATTTCCTACCAACTTCTGGTAGATTATATTTTTGCAAAAGAATGAAGATAGTAATGTTTTCTGAGCAATCCATATGGCTTTGTAGAAATCACTAAATTTTGTAATCTTGGTGGTATAAGATCTTAGCCAGTAATGGATTTTACCCAAATGAAAATCAATTTCTGGCTCAAATAGGTATTTTTTGGTCCTCTTTACATCTTGGCAATGATTTAACTGATTTTCCTCCCCATGTGACAGCTACTTAAGTTGAAAATCAGTTCAGTGATTGCTATTGCCATTAACATTGGTAGATTCAGCATATTGATGATGAAATGCAGATTCCAATGTTCCAATTTTTTACTTAAAAATTGTGACCCAATTTCAAATATTTGATCTCTGATGGGTAAGAGTTAACTGTGCCAGTCCGAGCCCAGCACTCTTGGATTCAGGCCTCAACAGTTAACATCCTTTATTATGTAGATAATTCAACAAATCAGAGACACTTACTGTGGCATTGCTCCAGCTTTTGATCGGAAAGTTAAACTGTCACTGTCAGAATCCGTGGAACTGGCTCCTGGGAAAACATTAAGGACAGATGAAAAAGTTAAGACGTCAGTGGCATTTACAATTTCAAAGTAATGATCCTCATTTGTTTTTATTTTATTGTTAAGTAGTTGTTCAAAAAGGTTTGTATAAGTCAGGTTGTGAGTACAACGCATCTTCATCAATGTCGCCTCTCCTGTGGCCCTCTGCCATTTTCCTCCCTCCCATCCATACTCTGAAGTTATGAAGTTCATTATATACATATATAATAAATATAATAAATAAATATAATAACTGCATTTGGTCACCCTTCCTTTGTCCATTCATTTTTAAAGCAGGAACATACAAAGTCTTATTTTTCTTCAGTATACAATGAAATAGAGAATAAAGGTGCAAATTATTTTTATTTACTGCTTCTTTTGAAGATCATTTTTAAAAAAAGAACAGAACTGCTAGAAATAGCCATCTTAAAAGCAATATGCTTTTAGAGCCAGACCTATCATTACTTGTCTTTATATTAACTTTTCCCTCTCAACCATCTTTTACATGGCTTAAAAACTATGAAACAAATGTGTTCACATAAAAAAAGTTCATAGGTTTAAATCTTAACCCTAAGAGACTATGTGGTGTGGTAACATCACTGATTAATAAGTAAGAAGAAGATACTCTATGATACTTGAGAAAAATTGACCATGATAGAAGGTTCATTCTTGAATAAGAAGGTTTTTCAATTTGGATTATGCCCTTTCCTCCTTTCAAACTCATTGGATTGTTATATTCCTAAATTAATAGTCACAACCAATTTTTTTGTCTAAAGGTAATTAAACTTTGATATTTCAGTATTTACATATTGTGCATCAAGAGTTTTTTTTTTTTAATTTATTTGGGTCCAGTCATGGGGCCTGAACTCTGGGCCTGGGTGCTGTCCCTAAGCTCTTCAGCTCAAGGCTAGCGCTCTACCACTTGAGCTACAGCACCACTTCTGACTTTTTTTTTTTCTGCTGCTGATGTGGTGCTGAAGAATCGAATCCAGGGCCTCATGCATGCAAGGCAAGCACTCTACCACTGAGCCACCTTCTCAGCCCTCAAGAGATTTTTAAGTGATGGATTTAAAGCAATTTTAGTGATTAAAAGTATATGTATAGTGCTTTCCTAATGAAATCCAATTCATTTTTGCCATTTCAATTAGCCTAAAAAATACATCCTGATGGAAAAATATCATCAAACAGCACAGAAGACCAGTGAGTTATTTTCCTAAAAAACATTTGACACATTTGGTGTTTACTTTTTGGACAAGTTTAAGATATCAATGTACATAAATTTCTCCACATTTATACAAATGGACTCTGTAATTCATGTACTACTTGCAATTAGTTACTTCTGCCCATCAGTACATTTAGTATATATATATATGAAGACTCAGTTCTCTTGGCTGACCTCTGGAATTTCTTCTCTTGTTGCCTCCAGTCTTTGTCAACATTGAAATCAGTCAGGATTAGATAATACTGCTAATATTTCCATTGCCCTTTTCTTATTTTTGTAACTACCATTCAGTGTGGGTTTTGTTTACCTGGATCCTGGACTCTTACCTGATTTCTCTGCCTCCCAAATTTAGCTTTGTCTTGCCTAAGAGTAATTCTCTTAAAGCACCCCTTTTCTGTTAAAGAACTACCATACGTGAGTCTCAGTAAATGAGAACAGCCAAAAGGCCTTCATGATTTCCGATTTGATTTGATAACCAGGACTTCCTACATTTCTTTAATCCTAATCCAGAGAGAACACAGTCAATACTAATCCAGAGAACTGACACACTCAGTAGTGTATATGGCATAGGAAATGTGGATAGTGCAGCAGAGTTGGCACACACACACACACACACACACACACACACACACACACACACACGTAAATCGCTGCCCTCGTGAACTTTGCATTCTAGCAAGGAAACCGACAAAAGGAGAGAGGATAAAATATGTGATAAGGACCCATTGCAACAATGAGAGGCATAAGTCATTATGTCGGAACTTAACAACTTTGGTGGGGGGTGGGGGGAGGATCAGGTGGGGGGGAGGAGTATGGGAAGGGATGGGAAGGGGAAACAAGGAGGAGGCAACAATGCTTGATAAGAAATGTACTTGTTATCTTGCCCTTGTAATTGTAACTCCTCTGTACGGTATTCTCACAATAATAAAAAGAAAAGTTTCCAGTGAAAGGGGAAAAGATAAAGCAGAGGAGGGGCAGAGAGGTGGGTGGGGCTCAAACGTGACCGGAGAAATGAGGAAGGTTCCACCAGGACCCAAGGGATGAGAGGGATTTTCTGTCTTGTTTCCCTTTTTATAACTGTCGTTTTAGTCACTACCCTAGCATAAGCCTACCCAGACTTTCCCTGATATTTTATCTTTTAAGATCAGCCCAATTTTCTAGGCTCTGTCTTCTCTGAGATCCCAGCGTTCTTGACACTATACTTGTCACTTACCATGTCTGGTAGAAAATCATTGTGTCCCTGAGGATTGAGGAGGGGTTGGGAAGAGACTTACCAACTTGTGAATAGTTATTCAAATTTTCTTGTGCCTAGAAGGCTGCTAGATTCCTTACATCATTTGATTATAATTATAATGAACCTTGCTAAGAAGTGAGCTATGTCCAATTTGTACCTAGAAAATACCAGGTACCATGTGGTTAGGTAACTTGCAGGAAGTCACATCACTAGAGAGCTGCGGTGACAGGAAGTGTACTCCTGTGGATTTGAACTCATGATGCATGATCATCTTGTCCTTGGCGACCTTCACCCACTATGCCAGTCTGTCTTCCTTTGTGTACTTAGCTCAAGGTTTACTTAGGGCAAGCCTTTACCTTCTGCTGGAATGAATGCAAGCCAAGGGAACTAGGAAGCTTGTTTGGAGAGAAGGTGTGGACTATCAAGCTGCTAGAGGGACCGGGTGGAAAGGGACTGCTAGGTCTGCAGTGTCTGGATTCTATTGCCAGGTCCCTGCCAAGGGATTAACAGTAGGAACCATCAAAACAAGGTTATGTACAAGGAGGAAGTTTCAATTGATAAAGTAAATGTGTAGTACAGTGCAAGTGTGTGTGTGTGTGTGTGTGTGTGTGTGTGTGTAAAGCTAAACAGGGGAAACTCTAGAAATGAGCTAGGTAATCTGAGAGACCAATTGAATTGGAATCATAATGTGTGTGTATGTGTGTGTGTGTGTATGTGTGTATGTGTGTGAGAGACAGAGACAGACAGAGACACACAGAGAGACACACACACAGAGAGACAGAGACAGAGAGAAAGACTCTTATGGAAATTATCCAGACACATTTTCCCTCTCCAAGCAGTTAGAAATCAGAAACAGAAGCAACTATTGCTCACTGGATTCCAAACATTTAAAATCATTAACAAAAATTTTTCTTCTCATGCCCTCTATTTGAAACGTCATTTTGGGGCTGAGGATGTTGCTCAGCTGTAGAATCCTTGCCTATTGTGCCCAAGGCCCTGGGTTTCATTCCCAGCCATGCAAAGAGGAAACAAACAAAACCCCAAATAAAAAGATGCTATTCCTGTTCCTTTTATTTCCAGTGGATTTTCAAAGAAAGAAAGGTAAAGGGTAAAAAGATGTGTCCCTGAGAGCTTTTCTGCACCTGCCGAGTCCTTGTGAAATCTCAATGTCACCTTCTGTCTCAGGTGTCCTGGCAGAGACGCTCTAACAGATGGTGGCAGATCAAATCCTCCAGTTCTGGCCAGCAAGTTCCTTCCCCTCCCCTCTGGGCAATTCTCCCTCCTTCTCCTGTCCAGTGCTCTGCCTCCCTCCCTTCCCCCCCTCCCGCTCCTCTGTGGTGCACCTGCAGGTCAGGCAAAAGGAATGTTTATGACAGGAGGAGGTGTTTGAGAGAGAGAGAGTTGGTTAACTTAAAAAGAAAAAAAAACAGCGTTCAAAGCAGTGTCCAGAATTAGAGAAAGAAAGAGGGTACAATGTAGTCAGGGTATTCAATGTACACTATAAAAAACATGAACTATGCTACTTATAGGCAAAAACAGGAGAGAGAAACTGGGGGAAAGAGAAGGAAGGGGTGACAGTGTCCAGAAGAAATGTACTCTTTTATCTGACTCATATAACTGTAACCCTTCTGTATATCACCTTTACAATAACAATAAAAGTGCATTACCTGAGTTATGGAACTGTAACCCCTCTGTACAATACCTTAATAATAATGACCAAATCATATTAATAGAACAGATAGAATAGTTAAAATACTATAAATAAAATTATAGCACTATAAAAAAGTGCAATGTGATCTATACATATATACAGAAAAAAGATTAGAAAAGCAAATGTCTTAATAGTGATTGTGCTACCTGGATATCTTTTGGCATAATTGTTATGTGTCTGGCATGAAGCATTTCACTCTCAAAAAGTTATTTCCTCCCCCCTTCTTATTTTTGGCAGTTCTGAATGTTAGACTCTCCCCCCTCCTTGATGGAATCAAAGATACCGAAGTATATGATTGAGAATGGAAAAATAGGGGACAGAAATCAGGTATTGGCATTTTTTCCATCTTCATTTGCATGTGAATTTTTAATACAACTGATGAGATATAAAGCATTAATGCAAGTCAAAATGTTTCAGTGAGCAAGTGTTAGCAGCTCAACCTTATTCAGTTATAAATAAATCTGTTAAATTTTTCTGGACAATAGCAATATTTGGATTTTTTTAAAGAAGTAAATTTCTTATTGATGGCAAAAAAGAGGGACTGTGGGCTAGAGGGGCAGCTCAGTGGTATGGGAAGCACCTATATGTACAGGCCTTGGGATTGATCCCTGGTGATAAAGGGAAGAGAGAGAGAGAGAGAGAAGAGACAAAAAACAGGAAGACGGGAGTTATAGGACAGTGAAATTACATGTGATTTTTATCTATGTATTTTAGAGTTTTTAAAAATGAAAACATACTGTTTTTTGTTCTGGTCATAATAGCCTGTACTATGTGCCAGGTAGCACCAGGGAATTCACTCATTCAATCCTAACAAGAACCTAATTGTCTCCATTGTGTAGATGAAGAAGCCAGATCCCAGAGCCACTGAGCGCTCAAGGTCACAGAACAAGGAACTGAGCTCTTCATAAAATATTATGAACAACGTTATCAAAATAAAGAACGTGAAGAGTGGCCCACACAGTGCTCAGACCCCTTTACATTCTCTTCCCAAGAGTTTGAAATCTAGCAGAAGCAATCAATGCTTAGATTATTCGCCCGACATCAGACATCAGCGGCATTGCAGTGATGCCCAACATTCAGGACTTCGTTTATAGTGCTAGGATCTGCAGGGGAAAATGACCCCATACCGCAGCACGGCACACTTCCAAATGTCATTTACAGGGGTGCACATTTTATCTGAGTATTTTATAGCATGGAAACCTATCAAGAAATATCAGGCAGAATCTGCTCCCCTGCTCCTTGCTGGTGCATTTCTGGCCCCCAACCCACCCAAGGTTGGGGCTGTTCCCCTCCTTACATAGCTACATACTTCCTTAGCCACACTGGCTGCTTCAATCCAGTTCTTTTGTTCCAATCTATCAGGGCCACACCCCCTTCAGAACTCTTCAAAGCACAGTGGTCTGTACAATCCTTTTACAGTCACGAGGAAGGAGGTGGTGGAAGGCTGAGCTGTCCGTATTTATCTTACAAGTCCATATTTACCTTTCCTCTTTACCTTGTGAAATTCTTGGCTCTGTCTCTTTTCCATCTAGCCTTTGAGGGCACCTCTCCCCTCTAGGAAACACTGCACCCGAGTTCCTTTCCTGTCTGTCCTCTTCTAAAACTGCATCTCCGAACGAGAGAGAGGGGTGTGAATTCCATCAAAGCAGCACAGAAATGCTGCAGTGCAACCCCCTTTGGGATTTAATATATACAAATGAAAACATACAGAAAAGACGGTATCTCCCTCTCCCTCTTGCAAAACCTGCTTTTCTCTCTTGGACTATTTCTCCTGCTCCTTTGGGCATTTCTGCCCCTCTCCATCCAGACTTTTGTACTCCTTCCCTGTGGCTGGTGGAACATCCTTTCCCCAGGTCTTCTCTATTGACTTGTTATTCTCTATGTTCAGGCCTCAGAGGAAATACCTTCACTCCAGAATGTCCTTCTGATCAAGTCCTCCCATTGGCCACCTTCATCTCCTGCACAGACACGCCAGTGTTTGGAATTCTTTAGGAACTCCAGGTTCAGTCTTCCTCCTCTTCTAAAGTGTCAGTACTTGTCTTGTTCAGTAATTCATTCCTGGTGCCTGAGCCACCCACTGCCTCTCACTGTAGCCCCCCATACACGCGAGGATGGGCGGCTATGCCCTGGAAATCACTGGATCCAGAGCCTACAGTGTGAACCAGAGTAAGGGAAGGGTCATGCTTCTACCTCCCCAGTGACTTGCCTGTTCATATCGAATTAGCAATGTGCTTTAGGAAAGAGTTCTTGAATCTAATTTAAGGGCTGGAATGAGTAAACATAGCAAGTCCTTCTTTGAGGGAGTCTAAGAATGTATCTGAGAACCTCAGATACATCAGATACCTCTCTTTATTTTCCTTCGAGATAAAGACATACTAAAATTTCTCACTTTAAAAAAAAGTTGACATCTCTATTTTACAAGGGCATTGAGTTGGTTTTCCTGAAGTGCTTTAGGTTAGTATTAGAAGGAGGAATATCCATGGCAGTGCCCAGGTCCTTTCTCTTTTTTTCAATGTATGTGAATCCCTATACAGCCACAAATATATGGGCTGTTGGTGTGGCGAGTGGGATCTGGGGGAAAATGGAACTGAACAGAAGCAACCATCTTTGCTGGTATCCTGAGTCTGAATATACATCACATATATTAGCAGAAGTGTCTTGCTCCCAGAATGAGGAGTTTGTCCAGCGGATTTCAAAGGCAGAGGAGTACTGGAAAGCCTGAAGTGTTTACACAAAACGTAATTGGTTTAACTAAATAAAATTCAAGGTCATTCTTGTTAGAAACCAAAATTGATTTCAGAGGCAGAGAAACATCTTAATGTGAAGAGTACATAGATTGTACCTTGCACTTAACTTTTCAACTTCATTAATGTCTTTATGATACTTGCTATTTCTACATATTGCTTATAACATTATGTATTATTCTTATGCCAATACTGGACTCAGGGTCTTGTGCTCTTGCTTTGCAGTTTTTTGGTCAAGTCTGTATGCTACTATTTGATCCGTGACTCCATTTCTGGCTTTTTGGATTTCATGGATTTCTCTACCCAGACTGGTTTTGTTTGTTCATTTCAGAATCATTGTTCAACTTCTTTATTAGAGCTCTTCAAGAGAAACAAAGTTTGAATTGGAAAAGAAGATATTCACAAGGATACCCAAGGAGTGGTAGACTTTCTTACCTTCAATGAACACCTCGGCAGAGGTTGAGTCGGAGCCACTAGTGTTTGTCGCCAGACAGGTATAGCGGCCAGTGTCGTCCTCAAAGGCCTCTGTGATGGTCAGGGTATGGAGGTCCCCGCCCTCAGAGCGAATGTGAATGTCAGGAGTGTTGTGTAGCTCCTTCCCCTCACAGAACCATCTGTAAGCCAAATGGAGGTCAAAGGTCAAGGAAGGTCCAGGAGGAAGGGATGATGTTTAAAACCATAAAGCATCAGCAAAAGATGAGATGGTAGGCAGTCAGACACTCCCTTGATAAAAAGATCTGGGTCAATGTTACACATGGACGTTTGACATTTTAGACCGTGAAATTAATGACTAGACAATACCCCACAGGTTTTCACTGGAAAACATCTTGTCCATTTTCTCCACCTTGACAGCATCAAACTTGGAAAGCCCATTTGGGTTACAAAGTGAAAAGAAAGGGAAACTCCAAGTGTCACCCCAAATGCTTGATAGTACATGTCTCTTACGTCGAGTACAATTTTATTTATTATTCTCTTCCAAAAGAAAGATTGAAAAAATCAAAACCGCATGCTGCAAACATCTAATATGTAAAGGGAGTCTTATCATGGTGATTACAAAATAATATCATAGGCAGCGATATTTTTCTTGACCCAAAGACTTCTGACCAGCTGAACATATTTCTGAAATTTATAAAACTTTCAAGCAGAGTGTCTGGGCTTCCAAGATGGAAAGAGATGGAGAAGCCAGGCTGTATTTCATTCTTTCTGCTCAGACATTTCCTTTCCCAAACAGCCAGAGGACCTGAACCAAGGTGCCTTCTCACTCTTTCTTCTATTCCCCCAGCACCTCAAACTCTCAACAGCATTAAATTACAATACAAAAAAAGAAAGAAAGAGTTTCTCCCAAACCCCAATGTGTGACTTATTTTAAAGAAATGTGTCGTAATATGCTACTTACAACTAACAGACATTGAAGTCTTTAGAACTATATTGTCCTTTAGTCTTCCTAATTAGCAGAAAATATTTTCCCTGAGTCTATTCTATAAAATTCTTTGGACCTGGCAAACTCTTTGTTTGAATTTGATTAGATTAGCGTAAGTATTTGTGTATATTTATTTGAAAATGCAGCGAATGGATCAAATGAGTTTGTTAATACTCAGAATATTAACACCAGAAACTAGTCTGAAATAAAATAATAGATAATCAGAAAACAACAGCTATGACTCTGAGAATTAATGAACACAAAAATAAACAGCTAAAAAATAAATTTGTGGTAGTCACCAGACACTGTGTTGGGAATGAACTATACAACCTGGGGGTCGGATAGGAGGGAAAAACTGGGAGAGAGCAAAGAAAGGGGTGACTTTGTCCAAAAAGAAATGTACTCATTACCTGACTTATGTAACTGTAACCCCTCTGCCTATCACCTTTATAATAACCATTAGAAGATAAACAGGCCAACTGAACATTCATACAACACAAATGCAGTCCATATTATTTTGGGGCAACTGAGAAGACCATCTCTTGATTCTGGGTACACTGGGTTCCAGTCTTGGAGAACCATTACGTTTAGAGCCATTGTCTAGTCCCTTCTGTCCAATGCTATATAGACTATTAGCTTTAGTTTTCATTGAGTTCTTCATCTCCAGTAAACAAATTCCTTCTATATTCTGTCATCAGATTAAGGCTCTTGAAACAAACTCTTCCCTTCCCACATCACTCCCTAAGCTTCAGATCTGTCATTAAGGCCTTTCACATAACTTGGACTTAATTTTGTTTTCTAAGCCTCTATTTCTGTCAGAATATTTCCAGGGGCTTATGGTTCCTTGCCCAACCCCTAGGGTTGTGTAATAAGCCCCTGGATATATTTCTCCTCCTTGGAATTCTTTCCTTGTTCTCTTCATTAAGCCTGGTTAATAACTCTTCCTTCAGACTGAAGTCTTCTTCCGAAGATTAACTTCTGCCTGGGTGTTTTCTATGTGGAAGGTGTTGCACTACAGGCTATAAGTGATAGGAAAAATGATGCCTGGGAAACTGGGACACTGGGAAACTAATTGAGGAGTTTATATGTCTGTTCTCTTCTATCAGAGTATTTCTACTTTCCATTAAAAAAAAAGGTATAAACTCACTGCTCCAGAGGCATTAAAAATACAATGGAAATGTAAAAGAAAGATTAATTTCTAACAGTGAATCTACTTTGTAGGGAAGACTTTGCCAACATAATGAATGCAGTATTCTAACTCAGTAAATTTATGCTCTGAAAGCCTATTTTGTATATGACTGTGAGCAAGAAATATTTCTTATACTTTGTTTCGAGGGAGTCCTGGGGCTTGAACACAGGGACTAGGTCCTATCTTTTGAGTTTCTTTCCTTTTTTTCGTTATCTCTTTTTTCCCCCAAAGTTGTTGCATTACTTCTTGAGCCACAGCTCTACTTCTGGCCTAATTTGAGGGTAAAAGTCTCACCAACTTTCCTGTGTGGGCTTTGAATTGTGATCTTCAAATCTCAGCCTACAGAGTATCTAGGATTACAGGCTTGCGCCGCCAGCTGACTTGGTTTTTATACTTTTAAGCAGCTGGGAAAAAATACAAGAGAAGAAAAATATTTTGAAATATTGAAAATTAAATAAAGTTTGATTTTATTGAGTCCATAACTAAAGCGGTCTTGGAATATAAGCATGGTCTGTTGTTTACGCAGTGACTGTGACCGCTTTTGTATTACATTGACAGAGTAGAGAAGTGGATGGAACATTCTGTCTGGTCCTAAGTGCCTGAAATAATTATATTTGGGTCTTTTTATCAAACATTACTAACTCCTACATTTTGCTTCGGAACTCTGAGCAGCCACATCTGCCTTACTGAAAGCTTGTTAAAGATGCACAATCTTGATCCCTATCCCAAATATATATCTGTTCAATTTCCCAGGTGACTTGTGTGCATAAGAGTTTAAAGGCTGGGGCTGAAATGTGGCTTAGTGGTAGCATTCTTGCCTAGCATGCATGAAGCCCTGAGTTCAATTCCTTAGTACCACACGAACAGAAAAGGCTGGAAGTGGTGCTTTGGCTCCAGTGGTAAAGTGCTAGCCTCAAACAAAAGAATCTCAAGAACAGTGCCCAGGATCTGAGTTCCAGTCCCAAGACTAGCATATATATATATATATATATATATATGTATATATATATATATGTATGTATGTATGTATATATATGTGTATATATGTATATATATGTATATGTATATGTATGTATGTATGTATGTATGCTGACCTACTATGCTCTGGTCCACAAAAGCCTGCTTCCCAGAGTCCTAGCTCCTCATAGAGATTCTTTACTCCTTCAATACAACAACCATGTTCTGTGTTCTGTGCTTTCTGTCTCGGGTTCTTTGCACATAGGTGCTTGCAAAATTGTGGGGTTTTTGCTCGTTCTCTTATTTCTATTTAAATTTTTTAGATCACTCATTTGACAATTGGTTATTTGCCACTTTTTAATATATTTATTCTGCATTTTTTCTTCGTATTTATGCCAAATATATGTATATCTTTTTAACATAGAAAATTGACTTCTTGGCTGACAAAAATGAATCTACTTACACTCTGTTGCACATAGCTGGTGATTTGAAAATATTTATTCTCTGCCATGCATTATCTTAGTCTTTACATACTTCCTAGAGAAAAACAGTGAAAGGATCTAGATGCTAACTGTTTTTTTGGCAATGCTACATGTTATATTTTGGTCTTTGATGTTTGAAATCCCAATAAGGCGCTGAAGAATCCTATAGAAGAAATTCATTTAATGTCTGATACAATACTTCTTAAATGTATTTGACCAAAACATGTATCTACTAAAATCCTATGTACATTTTACTGAATACTTCTCTAGAATATTCCATGCAACTTTTTTTTAAATGTATGTATGCTGGTTCTGGGGCTTGAACTCAGGGCCTGGACACTGTCCCTGAATTTTTGTGCTCAAGGTTAGAGCTCTACTACTTGAGTCATAGCACACTTTCCATGTTCTGATGGTTAATTGGAGATAAATCTCACAGACTTTCTTGCCTGGATGGCTTTGAACTGTGATCTTCAGATCTTAGCTTGCTAAGGAGCCTGCATTACACATCTGAGCCACTGGTGCCTAGCTTGCAACTTACATTAAAATTTGGGGTGGGGGGGGCTGGGAAGGTGGCTCAGTGGTAGAGTGCATGCCTTGCATGCATGAGGCTCTGGGTTTGATTCTTCAGTACCACATAAGCAGAAAAAGCCAGAAGTGCTGCTGTGGCTCAAGTGGTAGAGCACTAGCCTTGAGTTGAAGAGCTGAGGGACAGCACCCAGGCCTACAGTCCAGGCCTCACAATTGACAAAAAAAAATGAATAACTTAAAACAAATTATAAACTGAGTAGTGATAGCTGAAAAATCAACAATAAACCCAACAATAAGCCCAAAATACTTCAATGTATCTGACTACTTGCAGAAAGATTAAAACAACAAATGCATTTTCTGTGACAGTGGATTTAACACCGTTTTTTTCTTTTAAATCAAACCCACGGAATATAATTTTCTAACATTCTCTTGAAACTTGTTGTTCATGTGCTTTCCCTAACCTCTTAATAGAGTGTATTTTTCCAGAATAAAGACTTCATCTGACTAACTCATTCACTAGATTCCTTCCCAGTGTTTGGCATCTGGAATGTATTAATCATGCCTTTTAATTTTCTGTAGTCCCGCTGCCCTGACATCTGGGGCCTTGCTGATCCTGGAGCCTGCCTCTCCCAGGGCTAAGCAAGTTCCTCACCTACAAGAAGTCTTCAGTATGGACACTAACCAACCCATAGGCCATATTCCCTCTCTTTCTCTACAGGCTCTTACCGAGAAACCATCTACCTGCCCTCATCTTCTCCAGATGATCAGGTACCAGACAATTAAATGATAGCATCTATGCCAAATCTATTCTCCTGGGCTCACCTGTCCCTTCTTTTGACAGCCATGGATCTCCCCACTTCTTTCTTTCTTTGACTAACCTAGTGGGTGCTTCTCCCCGTGATTGGGGGCTATGTAGCCTTCTGTTTGGTACAAGCCTCCCTTCATGTCTTCCTTCTTCCCTTTCTTCTCTCCCTTCCTGATAAGGTCTGGATGTATTTTCCAGGCTGGCTTTGAACTCCAGATTCTACTGCCTTGGCT